ATCATCAAACTTTGGCTCGATACCCTCATCCTCCATACGGGAGCTTATCTTCACCCACTTCCTTTGCAGTCGAGTAGGTAGGTGTCTTGCTATTACCTCTAGTATAAAACTCGAGTTGAGGTCACTCATGCGATTCATAGAAATCAAGGTATTCTTATAAGTCATAAGATTATCTAAAAACTCAGTGAGTGACTGGGAGTCATCCTGTAATTTACCACCATTACCCTCAACAGCCTCGAATAATTTCCTCACAATCATCGAAGGTCTTCCAAACCTTTGACGTAATATGCTCATAGGCACGTAGTAGTCCTCTTTTGGCTTCATAAACTTACAGCACTGTATAGCTCTTGCAGCATCTCCAGTGCAATATCTCATCAAATACATTAACTTCAATTCATGATTTAATAAAAAACTACTCAACATGATCTCAAACTCCTTTACAAATTGTAAATATTCAGCTGGGTTTCCATCAAAACACCGTGGTTCAAATTTAGGGAGTTTGATGTTCCTATTATCCCTGAACGGCGAAACAGTCACATCAACCATGTCATGCTTAACATCAGACACATCGTTACAATTGACAAACAAGTCACAATGACTTACTTTCCTGTTTGCATCCAACACGCTCTGTCCCTTCTTTGACCCAGGCATTGTTGAACTTGACCCAATTCCAAAACGTTCCAGATATTGCTTGATCAAAGAGGACTTGACCGGCACCAGGAAAAATGAACGGCGACTATCCGAACTTTCACCAACTGTTTGAATTCACCAGAATCTGTTTCTATCGTCAGAAACTGTCAGTCACGTCTCGTAAACCGTTAATGCCCAGCTCTTGCTACGCTCAGGCTCACGCTGTTCCTTGAAGTTTCTCAGAAACGCTTTGTCAATGGAGTTGAAGATTGAACGATCAATTCATGGTTGTTTGCTCAAAATCAACTTCCCCAATTTTCGCGGAGGCATCAATACGACAGTCATCGTCTCATCGGTCGCTGTTCAGAAAGAAGAGTAAAACATCGTCAGAAGTAATCTTATGATTTATTATTGTAATATTTGTTTTCAGACCTTAGTTCGCTAATTCGTTTTATATGTTGGTGTAACAATAAACAAATCTAAAGCGGCAGATCAGTGTTTTGGTTTTTTCGTCCGTTATAACTAAGCGTTTCTGAGAAATCTTCGAAGAACAGCGTGAGCCCGAGCTTAGCGAGAGCTGGGCATTAACGGTTTATGAGACGCGATTGACACGCTTAGTAATAACGGACGAAAAGACGATAACACCGACTGGCCGCTTTGAAATTCTTTTTTGTAACACCAACATTTAAAATATATTTCTACTGAGGTTTCTGATGGTTTACTGCTTACCTCTTTCTGAACAGCGACCGATGAGACGATGACTGTCGTATTGATGCCTCCGCGAAAATTGAGGAAGTTGATTTTGAGCAAACAACCAAGAATTGATCGTTCAATCTTCAACTCCATTCACACACACACACACCACAGATAATCCCATGTACTCCATTTACTCCTACGAATCGGGCAGGCGAAACAGTTGAACAGTAAGTCTTGCCAACACAAAATGACTGCTTTGCTAAACCAAATGTAATGCATTGCGGGATTAGCTCACCAGATGACTTACCTGTATTTGTAGAGCTTGGAAACACGCATCTTTCGACTTCTTGAGAGGCTACTTGTTTTGCTACCCTGAAGCGACTCCTCACCCTTCCCTTGATTTGGCACAAATGTGACTCATACGTGAAGGCTGAAAAGGTATCCAGACAACCGTGTTCAGAGACGTCCTCAGATAAATGCTGAAGAGCATGCACATTGTAAACCAGCTCATCAGGGTAGAGGCTGTCGAAGCATAGTACATACTACCTGAGCTGTTGTTTTACGGTGTCGCACAATTTAAGGTGGTAACGAGGATGACATAAAATGTAGACACTCGTGAACAATCTGAGGAAGTTTGCGTATAGTGGAGAGGGTAACAGGTCATGTTATACAACTGGGCCCAAATACATAAGAAATAGCCGGCATTCAGTGGCCTACCAAAACTGAAGAAACTCCAAGCTGCGACATTTCCTTTGGAAGTCATTAGGGATGCAGCTTTCTGCAGCCTGTAGCCTTTCGTTGATACAAAAAATTGATTCATTGCTTAATCCGAATTGGCGTTGTTTTGCCAAACGCAACCATATACCAAATTGCCACCTAACAACACCTAAGCAGACTAAATGCATATAATCTAATGGAAAAATCTTAACCATATCAATTGGAAGTCTCTCAAATACTGATGTGCCATGGTGGTAATCGGCATCTTCCTTACTCCTACAGCTATTATCTGTCCTGCGACAGCTGTTAACATCCTTAAATACCATACGCCGGTTTACATAGTTGCCAGTAACGCAACATCTGTCACAACCTCTCCTACTGTTGTGACTCGCTGTAAAAGTGACGTCAGATCTTGCAGGCTTATCGCAGGTAACACTGTTAAGCCGGAAGCCGATATGCCTCTCATTGATTTGTAAACCATGTGCATATAAGTGCTCCATGTCAGTTACAACTGGCAATAAAAAATTATTGAAGTCAGACGGTTTATGAAAACCACCATAAACTCCAATAAGAAATATATCACTAAGAAACGGTTTCACCAGTCGACCCAATATCGGCCAAACTTGCTGTGTACCATTGTTAAACAGTGACAATCCATCAACATTCAGCTGCAGATTAACGCAATCAAAAGATGCAAACTGACACCAACAACTCAGTATAGGCGTAAGTATACTTCGCGAACCAATATGATAGTAAACTCCACTACCAATAACAGTTGAGGAGCATGACTGGCTAGTTTTGAGAATGTGTCTTATATTTGTTGGTAATCTTGGAATACGTCGTTTGAACAATCGCATAACCTTTCCACCATCAACAATGGATGTTTTAGTGGTCATCATAAGCTTTAAGGCAGTCGTCCTAAGTTCTGCCTTTGAATTGCGTTCTTTTGCCTTATCGGAACGTATCTCATGGGACAAAAGAGCGCCCGCAGCACTACCTTATCCAATAGTCGTCACATGAAATACTAAGAAACCAACTTGGTAAAGTAATTTGTATGTCACTTTGCACGTTTACGACGCTACAAGAAGTTTCATCTACTAGACATTCACCAGCCTCGACGCTGAAATCGGGAAGTATCATCTTGGCTACGTCACCGAGCAACTCCGACTTCAATCTCTTAGTTCTTCTATACAATGTGGATCGGTGGCCTGTCTCTTTTTCAAACAAACCTAAAGCACAAGGCTATATTAAAGAGAATAAAGTACTTCTAAGACGTCTAGGGGTATTCACATTACTACCACTTGGTACTACTTCACTTTCAGTATCCATTTTATTACCTTAAAAAAGACATTACTGCACACACTTAACTCACCTAGTCAGGGGTGCACGACGAAGAATTTGAAACCGCGGCTTCGGAAGTCAAACTTCAGTTTGAATTCACATAAACTAACGTGTCAAAATAATTGAAATGAAATCGTCACCATTTGTCTTCATGCCAATTCACAGTGATTACAGACGCATTGTATAATATTCAAGCTGAAATGTTCCTCACCTCATGCATTCCCCATCTTAGTATGACTGCGCTACAAAAACAAATTCACCCCATTCTTCCCATGTTTCCCCTGTTTCCCATATTTTCCCACATTTCCCACGTCTCCAGAAAATAGTTGCCCACGTTTGCCCACTTTACCCATGTTAGAAACGAAAACAGCCCACTTTATCCCACTTTGCCCACATTTGAACGGAAAACTGCCCACGTTTTTACTCACATATCCCAGGTCCAAAAAAAGTAACCGACTGGGTTTATTTGAAAAAGAGACAGGCCACCGATCCACATTGTATAGAAGAACTAAGAGATTGAAGTCGGAGTTGCTCGGTGACGTAGCCAAGATGATACTTCCCGATTTCAGCGTCGAGGCTGGTGAATGTCTAGTAGATGAAACTTCTTGTAGCGTCGTAAACGTGCAAAGTGACATACAAATTACTTTACCAAGTTGGTTTCTTAGTATTTCATGTGACGACTATTGGATAAGGTAGTGCTGCGGGCGCTCTTTTGTCCCATGAGATACGTTCCGATAAGGCAAAAGAACGCAATTCAAAGGCAGAACTTAGGACGACTGCCTTAAAGCTTATGATGACCACTAAAACATCCATTGTTGATGGTGGAAAGGTTATGCGATTGTTCAAACGACGTATTCCAAGATTACCAACAAATATAAGACACATTCTCAAAACTAGCCAGTCATGCTCCTCAACTGTTATTGGTAGTGGAGTTTACTATCATATTGGTTCGCGAAGTATACTTACGCCTATACTGAGTTGTTGGTGTCAGTTTGCATCTTTTGATTGCGTTAATCTGCAGCTGAATGTTGATGGATTGTCACTGTTTAACAATGGTACACAGCAAGTTTGGCCGATATTGGGTCGACTGGTGAAACCGTTTCTTAGTGATATATTTCTTATTGGAGTTTATGGTGGTTTTCATAAACCGTCTGACTTCAATAATTTTTTATTGCCAGTTGTAACTGACATGGAGCACTTATATGCACATGGTTTACAAATCAATGAGAGGCATATCGGCTTCCGGCTTAACAGTGTTACCTGCGATAAGCCTGCAAGATCTGACGTCACTTTTACAGCGAGTCACAACAGTAGGAGAGGTTGTGACAGATGTTGCGTTACTGGCAACTATGTAAACCGGCGTATGGTATTTAAGGATGTTAACAGCTGTCGCAGGACAGATAATAGCTGTAGGAGTAAGGAAGATGCCGATTACCACCATGGCACATCAGTATTTGAGAGACTTCCAATTGATATGGTTAAGATTTTTCCATTAGATTATATGCATTTAGTCTGCTTAGGTGTTGTTTGGCGGCATCCAGGATGTCAACTTTCCAAGCAGAGTTTGAGATTGTATTCCTTCGAATGCATTCAGGCTTATTGAGAAAATTCTGAGGATGTATACATATCAGGTAAATTAATCTTACCTCTGGTGAACAATTCTTTATCTTAGGAACGCTGAATATGTGAACAATGCAAGGAACAACCACAGAGTTGGTGAAATTCTATAGATTACTCGTCCATATATTCCACGAGATATATCAGGAATTGTGTAACTTCCAAACCACCTGTCACATTTTCTCTTCTATAAAAAGCCATTATTATACACGTGACTCTTATCCATCCGTTACAATTAACTGAAAGAGATAAAATCTTCAAACTTTATATTTCTTTGATTAAGTTACCCAGTAGTATTCTCCTTGCAAGTGGATCTAATGCTTCTCACATCTGTGAAATTTATAAGCATGTTAACTTGGTCCCTTAAGCTAAAAAATATAATGTCTATCCGCTTTTATTATTGCTATTTCAAAGCCCACTTCAGTAACGTGAGGCACGTATTAGCCGCAATGCTTACGCATAGAAAAATCTACCAATCACAGCTTGCATAATTGACCTTCAAGTGCTCAGCCTCTCAGAAGCCGTTTGTGCCGCTATCCTTTCTCGTTGGTAGGTTTGTCTTCCCACTGGCTGTTTCTGCTTACTTGCTCCACTCATACAGTGTTGTATACTTTGGATTTATCACAGGAGTCTATTATTCTTGTCCGTAGACAACTCTACAGCGGGTCCACAGCATATATCAGTAGACGGAACTGCAACAATGAACGCTCCCTTGGATTATATTGATAATTTGTAGCAGCGGACTCTAACATTATATCCAAGTAACCTTAATAATATATATCATTAATGCATTTTCGATAATATATTGTTTTAATGGCGAAGTTTAAGAATAGCGTCCCAAAACCTTGAACGCTCAAATGACCTTGAACGCATGCTAGCTGTTGGCTAACGGTTCCTGTCATTATCATAGCTGAAATATCAATCCTATACATCAAATAAGGAGCAAGTTTCACCCAGATAACACTTTTATTACTGTTTGAGCAATGTGTTAACATCTCGTTAGGGTTAGGATAGGGGTTAAGGCGAGCATTGTGGTTAGGGTTAGGGTTACGGTCATTGTGTGCGTAAGTGGCACAATGGTTAGGGTTAGGGTTTAGGGTTAGTCAATATCATCTTATTGACTTGTATTTTTATTCGCATGTATGTTATGTTACTGAGCTTTCCAGAAGGTCCCCTACATAGCCAACTAACTGGATAATTGTACATTCACTATAAGGGGAAGATATATATATGTATAGATATGTACGTATATAGTGGGATGAAGACAGGATTCATAGTTTTCTCTAGGTACGTTCTAATTTTTCAGGCAGCATGTTTCCCCTGCTTAAATTGCAACTGGAAAGGTGATAAAAAGTGATTTCCACCGTATGTTTTCTTCATGTACTACGGTCAAAATTATTCTACGAGAGTTAACGATACTGCTACAATTCTTAAGCTGATATGTGTGCTGGCTAAGATTCTGCTCTAGGACCCACTGGTTGAAGCCTAAGCATTAGAGTCAATAAACAACCACCAAAACTGAAATAGTCGTCTTCTTTTCTGCTCTATTCACGGCTTTACTACTGAAAGTGTAGTGCAAGGATATGAACACGGAAACGCTTACTCTTGAAGGTTAAATTATATATTGAAATAGAAGTTAAGCGATGCAATATGCATTTGACGAGACAGTAATCGCGAGACAATAGATAATTGTCAAAGGAAAGGAATCGGGCGTATATTCTTACTGCATTTTTTGTATGTACCTAGAAAATCGTACAGACGCTTCTATCGAAAATTAGAGAGGATATACACATGAGGAAAATTCTGCTCATACTCACAAGTGCCGTGGATACGGTTAAGTGTCGTTAAAAAGAAGACATCCTGCATTTCTGTGTTTTCTAAGACATATTGTCTTTAGCCACTTATATGTTTATGTACAACTGCAACGCGTAGCTGCTTTTCAACGAGCATATTATAAATCAAATTGCTGTTTTTTGTAGCATAATGGATACATCTGCAGTTGATCTTAGCTCTCAAATACATCTTAAAGTTGAACAACCAGTACAATCAGATGATCTGATATCGAAGTCATTAGAGAAATATGATGTGAAGAGAGATGAGAATGTAGAAATGGAAAATCATAGTAAAGGTAAGGAGGAGGCGTTATCTCCTATGTATTAATTGTATAATATGATACTGATATTTTTGAATACGGTGGAATGGAAAGCAACAAATGAAGATGAAACGTCTGCTTCCTGTTGACTTACTTTTGCTTTACTTTGGCTATCTCCTACGGGAGGATGACTTGGCTTCATGAACACCTCGAATCATCGCTGCCCAGGCGCGGGGATCTGATGCAAGGTTTTGCGACAGGGTTATCTAATTCTTGTTCCACAGACGGAGTCCGTAGACGGTTTGTAGCCCCAGGCACTCCATATCAGCCTTGGCTGTACCAAACCATGCTTTTAGCTGTCCACCCTTGCGACATCGCCAAGACTGAGTAACATTAAATTCAAACTTTTTGCAAAACTGCATTACTTTAAATGACCACACTTCCTAAAAGCACAAATTAAAGTAGGGAAAAGAAATATGGTGAAACTATAGTAGACAAAGATACGCAGGAGGAAGGATGTAGGACCTAGTTGATGATGAGGAGTAAAGACGTTTGCGGCATTGTGAACGACTCTGAGTGATTTCATCAACGGTCTCCAGCTGTAGATTTTTATCATCCTCGGGACGTCTGTTACAGTTCTCTACGTGGCTCAGATCATCAGTTAGTGAAATGGGTTGATGCAGTGTTGTTGTATGACTACCGCTAGTTCTCTGGTAACGTGGTCTTATATCAACTGAAGTTACTATTCAGCGAAGGCGGTATTTTGACGTTCATAGCACATGTACTCATTTCAGTCGAGCTTGACAACAATATGGATTAATCTTACCCCGTTATCTAACACTTCACTGTTAACCTCATTATTGACTCATTGGTACAAAAGAAGTTTTATAAATAGTTAGAATTGTTCTCGGAAAACAATTCCGTATGGGATTTTTAAATGCCACTGTTGTGTAATTAACTAGCAGTCTGTTGTATGTTAGTAGTAGTCTAGGCGGGGTTGCATTAAATATAAGGTGTGTATAATTTCGCTATATAACGATGCAGAATTCCAAATAATCTTTCCCCTGACAGTCTCTCGCCTTATACCGTTACAATATGATAATGTATCCGTTATATTAAAAAAAAAATCCTGTTCCTGTTACTTAGATAAGATTTTTGTCGTTGAAATGTTTACTTTGTAGTTGAAGGCAATCCTGAACAGATTAGTGAATGTGGTATCATCAACAGCAATGACAATATTAATAACAACAATACCTGTAGTAACGATGTTGGTGTTGTTGTGGTTAAGAAACGAAATCCAAAAAGACGAAATCCCCCTAAAGGTGAGTACATTGAGACATTCTGTTAAACTTTAATTGTAATCAAACTGATTTTGAAGATGATAAGTTTTGCTACAAATTGATTGGTAGTGGAGAGCTGTTGACAAATAGATGGCACTAGACAGTTCCTTCGTCTTAGTTTGGGAAATAACAGCCTTTCTCATAGATGATGGCATTGCAGATTGAACTTAGGACCGTCAAGTTTCTTATTTGTTTACATTCCCAAAGGAGCATAGGATTTCAAGCTGGAGGCATGAAGTTTCATTGGCAGTGGTATTTATTTTGTGGGTAGGGTTGCTAGCCTCATGCCCAACCTTCCCTCTTTACCAGTCCTATTACTGGCTTATCAAGGTAAAGGAGTGCATCAGACGGGGACTGAAACCCGAACCACGTGAGGTGTGGTTGCCGAGCATCCTACAACTGTGTTACGGACGCACCTGTATTAACATATCGTCTTTTTTTCCGCCGCGTTCGTGTCCCGTGGTTCATTTTTTATAATTTACTCACAGTTATTACCCTTAATTTTAATAATAAAGTCAATGAATCTTATCTGTGCTGTAATCTGAGTGAAATGCAATTCCGTTTCACGCCAAATTTAAATACCTGAGTTGAATATTAATCCAAGAATGTCTTTCAGCCTGTGAAAGGGGGAACACTAATAAGATGACTGGAAGTACTGGTGTTACAATGGTATCTTTTTATAAAACTCCACTGAAGCTGTATATACAATTAAAGTTCTAAGATGTAAATATTATAACTGTAAGGCTGTGTGGAATGATCCAGCGAATTTTTCTGAAGGCTATGCCGACCGGTGGCTACTACCTTGACGTGGTGGTCGGGCTTGCATATATCAATGACCCAGCAGGCTACACTGACAGACACTTAGTTCTACGTTGAAACCAGTCAGTCAGTATGTGGAGGCTATAGTATTTAGGATGAAGCAGATTTCGAAGTTGTAGTCAGTTGCTCCCAGCTATCTTCAAGCCTAATTATAAATAAGAACTAGAAATCTTGAAGTCTATGAGCTTCAGAGGATAGATTTACTTAGAAACAATCCTCATTCTGTTTTAGCTTGTGAAGAAACATAAAACAACGTCTAACATTAACTGATTGGATTGCCTTAGTGGTTTTGGTGTTTCTGTATTCAGTCTGGTTTCCTGATGGCGCGGAAGGCTATTGTGGAGAGACAGAATAGACTACTGTTTCTTCACCGAATATAACAATTAAGGTGTACGGCTTATGGTATTCGGCGTATTATTAGACTTTTCAGTTATATGTATGAGTATAAGTAAACTGAAATTTTGAAAACATTTTCATATTCCGACTTCGATGTTTGCATGGATTCTGATTACTTTCGATGCGGATTTTTTCGTGAATCGATGTCAGCTGGACAGTGATTGAAAACTATAGAGGAGAGCTAGACATCTTCCTCGTTCCTACAGCAGTAATCCCAATAGACATGTGTATAACAAAATCAGAAACGTAATAGTAACAATATTCAGTCACTTTTAACTACTAGGCATGTTTTCAAGTATTGGTTTTGTAGGGATTGTGTTCGATTGGTTGGGAGATTTCATCATTGCTGGCGAGCTTTATGGTCTACCAGGTCTCCTTGGAACGAGAATGTCCTGGGTGTGACGCCCGGGGAGTGCCTACTGCTATTATATTATGCTTTTTGATTATTTCCTGGAGGAACATAAGGCTTCAGTCAGGCGTCTCCACTGCATTCGGTTCTCGGCTAATGTTTTCACCTGGCTTCAAATCTGCCCACATTCTTTTATCTCTTATTCACATGACCTCCAAGTCACTCTTGGTCGACCCACTCGCCGCTTCCTTTTCGGGTTCCACTTGAGCGATGGCCCGGCGTGTGATGTCACTTGTTTGTTTTCTCAGAGTGTGGCCAATCCACCACCATTCCTTCCTGCGTATTTTTGCACAATCGGCTCCTGGTTGGTTCGCTCATTGCCAGAGATCCCTGTTGCTGATCTTTTCTGGCCGTCTATCTGATCTTGAGTTTTGAGCGAAGACAACTGTTAATGAAGGTCTGTAGTTTGTTTGAGGTGCTTTTAATGACGTGCTGGCCAATTTTCTGATCCGTATAGTAGCAGTGACTTCACATTAGAGTTGAAAATGCGGATCTTATTTTTGATGCTGTGTGCTGTTGACCTCCACACAGACTTGAAAGTAATGAAAGCTTGTCTTGCTTTTCCGACCCTTGCTTTGATGTCCTCGTCAGTTCCATCCGCCTGTAGTTGAAACGATGCTTCGCAGGTAGGTAGTTAAAGGATGTGGTTCCATTTATGCTGATTATTGTCTGTTGTTGTTGTTGCTGTTGTTGCCCAGGAATCTTCATCGCCTACTACTGTGCATGTATTAATTGTGCACGAAGCTGAACACACTGTAGTACCAAATAGCTCTCTAAACGTTTTCTATCAATAATTTTAGTAGTCATTCACAAGCGATACAGCTTATCTTATTATTATTATTCCTTCAAGAAGCATAAGTTTAAATTAAATTGAAAAGAAGTAGAAGAATGTTTGAGAGATGTTGTTCTTAAGTTCACTTACTTATTCACAAACCGTAATTCTCTATTTTCTTTCCTGCTTTTTTAAACAGAATCCAAAGTCTTCCAGTGCATTAAATGTCACAGTTGTTATACTTCCAGAACATTTTTAAAAATACACACTAAATTCGTACACAAAGGTAAGCTTCAACTGTATTTAAGATTAATTGTGGGTTTTATTTCATTAAATTAACGAATGACGATATTGTAGTGCACATAGCCGTCTCTGATCATAGGTTTCTCTGTTCTATCTCTCATATATTAGGTGGTCTAATAGGGTGGATGATATTGAGGTTAGGCGTCGAGTGTTAGGTAAGAAGGGAGGGACAATCGATGAGATTGTGAATCTACATGGATTGAGATAGCGACGACATTTGTTATGCATGCCTAGCGTAGCCTTCGCCTTCCTCAACGGGCATAGGATTACGGTTAGAAAAGAACTTGTGGCGGTCACACGAAAATATGACATCAGTCTATGAAATCTTTAATAGTTAACTTGAGCCACGTCGGGAGGTGCAGACTGCTTGACTGGCTGGTTGGGGTCCTCGGGATGCTGAATACCAATGGTTGGAGAAAATTGATTGTCAGTGCCACAGATGCATTTACACTTTACTATCTGCCCTGTTGTTTTTCAATTTTACTACTCCTTCCTCCTCACATTTCTGCTTGTTATGGTTCGACTGAATTTCATTTTTTCTCTTTTGTGTTCATTTGTATGCTTCATGGATTGTAGCAAGTCGAATTGGTGTAGTTCTGTGCAAAGTTCAATGTTGAAACTAGTTAGTCAGTCAGTTCGTATACATTTGCTTACACTTACTCACCCAGTGATAATATCTGTGACTACGATAATGACTGATCAGGGCTCGAATGTCTGAGGTTGAGTGGGACAACAGATCCTTTGAGGCTGCAGATACACCCTGTTGACGAGTGTTAAAAAGCACAACGTCTAGGTTGAGAACTTCATTAAAGTGAGTGTAGAAATTAATTTGGCACTGGGATGTTCATATGTAGGGGTGCTTAAACATGCTAAATCCGCTTATCTTCTGCATGCACTATTGAATTGATGAGGGGGGGGGTTCGTTGATAATAGTCACCATAGTGCACAGACCAACGCGCCTAAATGGTATGTGATCTTTGATAATGTTTGAAGGAGAGGGCTGTTGTAGGTTGTGGAATTCCAGACAACATGAAAAGAAGGTTACTCAGTAACCATTTGCTTTTCACTTGACAGTAACCCATACCCACTTTGATAGGGTTACCTAGTCACCAACCCTTTGGTAAGCTAAATGGGGCTGGAGCCTGTGACCCAGTACTTAGATGTGAAACACCTAAAGCAGTGAATCAGACCAATGGTTGACACAAAATGAAGCTATTGGATAAGTCGTTTAATGATTTACTGAGATTTTAGATGTACTTCATAACTTTTGATAAACTGTCTGGCTGACATTTGAATCAAAAGTTGTAAGCAGTAATTACTGAGAATTCCCAATCTCATATTATAGTCATCTCTGAGGATGTTGTCCAGATGGATATTGAAAGCTTTGGAGTACAGGAAACAGAACAATACCAGAATGTTGAGTGTAGTACTTTTATTCCTTTAGGGTGTCAACTGTTATCTGAATAACAGTTTATGATGAGTAAATCATGTGACATGAGGTAGAATCTTGAATGGGGAACATAGTTTTCCATAGATTTTCAGATACTCCTTATGAATGAATCGTAGATGGGATGAGATTAAAGCTTAACGCTGTTTGTTTTTTCGACTGTATTTTGATATTTGTGGCTTAAAGTCAACGTGTGTATTCATTTTTGCCCACTACGACTACTACTTTAGATGTGGACTATACATGTCCACAGTGTTGTAAAACATTTGCAGAGAAGTATGAATTGGAAATTCATCAAGCAATCATTCATGGAGGTGAGATAAATGATAATTTTTTATGACTAGTTCATTAATAATTTTGATAGTTTGCATTGTAACATTAAGAACGGACTATTCAACGAAAAGACTGGCAGTGAAATCTAGGATGTGCATTTCATTCTGTTTGGATATATCTGCATTCCCCAGTACTCATCGTTTCAAATACCAACGCGTTATATCCAGATAGACCACTAGCGCCATAAGAGCCATCACCTCTTGTGCCATGGGTGTCAGTTATTATTTTTAAAAATTCAGTTTTGATCTTCCCGTTCAGCGAAATTGCTTCAAGTTAATCCGCAGACATGATTAAGGCGTCTGCACTAGGAACCGATGTGTCAACGGAAGCAAAACATTTTAGTTCAATCGACCAGTGGGAGAGTCAAAATTGAAATAAAAAAGGTGTGAATACTTGTACTTTCTTCTCTTGCTTCGCGTGCTACACGGAGTGTGGCGACTTGAACTTCCGCACATTTGTGCAAAGTTCTATGTCGAAAACAGACAGAATACTTGAAATCAAAACAAGTGATTATTCAGCGAAGAGACCCTTTTCAACCAGTTTATTATCAAGCTGTACAATCGTAAATATATATGTAGTTTTTAAGAAATTGTATCCAGTGAGGGAATTGAATAATAGGTGTGAATGCATAAAATAATAATAGCAGTATTAAATGCATGCAATTAAAATATTTGTGATTATAATCATAGCTAAATGTCAAATAGCAAAATAATTAATGTTGTATACAGAATCATTCATAGGATGGATAGAACTTGGAAGGGGTGTGCACTTATAGGACGAGTAGGCAAATCGAATGAAATAAAAGCGTTACGTAATATTGTGTGAAATTATTTGATAACGTAGAATTTAAGGTTGTAAAAAAGAGAACTGATTTACAATGACAAGTGTAACAAGTGAAATAATATAGGAGACGATTCGAAGTGAGAATAATAATAGTAGCGATTAACGTAATAAAGGAAGAGTATATAAATTGATGAATAGACGAAACGAAAACATTGGCAGAGTTAAAATATGATTGGGGATCACCGTACTTTAGCATGACCACACCGAGGGAGTGGTCATTGTGAAGTTACCAACAGCAGTCAAAGCTCTCACGCAGTGGCAACCAATCTCCTCCAGGATAAAGACAGCCAGGTTCAACTCAAAAGGAAGGAAAGTTACAATCATCCAATGCTATGCGCCTACAAACATCTCAGAACGAGAGAATAAGGAGGTTTTCTACAGACAACTACAAACAATAATGGACAACGTCCAAAATGACGATATCAAAATCCTGGTGGGTGATATGAATGCGAAGCTGGAATGAGACAATACACGAAGAGAACTCACCATGGGTCGTGGGGCCCTCGGTGAAATGAACGACAATGGTGAACTTTTCTCAGTCTTCTCCGCCTTCAATTATTTGGTGATTTGTGGCAGTGTGTTCAAACACAAGGATATACACAAGGCGACATGGATTTCACCAGATGGAAACACCAAGAACCAAATAGACTTCATTTCAATCTCAAAGACGTGGAGACGGAGCCTACTGGACACAAGGTCGAGGAGAGGAGCAGATGTGGGTTCAGACCACTATCTAGTACAAGGGACTTTCAAGGTGAAGCTAAAAGCCTCGAGGATAGCTGGGGATAGGCCACAATGCAAGTTCAACACTCAAAAACTGAAGGACAACCACAAAGGACACTTTCACTGCGATAGTCAGAGCAAAGCAGGAAACACTACGTGACATCACTGAAGAATCATGCTTAGAAGACCACTGGAACTCTCTGAAGGAGATTCTCAACGAAACGTGTTCAACGGTGTTAGGAAGAAAGAAGAGACAAGACAAGGAATGGCTCTCAACGGACACTTGGAAGCTAATAGAAGAGAGGAGAATGGTGAAAGAAAATGATTCAATGCAAGGACGAACAAGAGAAAGAGACGCTGAGCTCAACTTACACAGCACTGGACAAAGAAGTGAAGAAAAGTGCTAGGAAGGACAAAAGACGATTCTACGACATTCTGGTCACTGAAGCTGAGAAGGCAGCAGGCAAAAGCGACCTGAGGACATTATATCAGATAACCAAATCTCTATCCGGGAAGAGATCGACACAAGTGAAACCTATAAAAGGCAGCCAAGGGAACCCAATTACCAAGGAAGAAAGACAGATTAAACAATGGGCGGATCACTTCAAAGGACTCTTAAACTGACCACCACCTGGAACTCGTCTAGAAAGACCAACAACAGCGCATACACAACTGCAAGTTGACACCAATCCTCCAGCGAACGCTGAAGTCTTGAATGCAATCAAACTTCTGAAAGCTGTAAAAGCAGCTGGACCAGATGGAATACCTCCTGAAGCACTAAAAGTGAACCCAGGGACTACAGCAGACATGCTGACTCCATTATTGCAAAAGGTCTGGAAGGAGGGAAGGGTGCCTACTGACTGGAGGAAGGGTTACCTCGTGAAACTACCAAAGAAGGGGGACTTACGTCTCACTCTGCAAGAACTGGCGAGGAATCATGCTCCTGTCGACGCCAAGTAAAACCCTGAGTCGCATCATCCTGGAGAGACTAATGGACGCACTGGATCCAGAACTCCGACCAGAACAAGCTGGATTCAGGAAAAACAAATCATATTCTGGCCAAATTGCAGCTTTACGCATTATCATCGAACAAACCATGGAATGGCTATCTAACCTGTACCTCAACTTTATAGACTTTGAGAAGGCTTTGGACAGCGTTGACCGTGAAGTAATTTGGAAACTACTCGAGTACTACGGCGTACCCCAAATATTCATCAACCTTATTCAAAAGCAGTACGACAACGGCACATGTCAAGTGATCCACAACAGAAAACTCAGTGAGGCGTTTCGAGTAAACACAGGAGTCAGACAAGGGTGCTGGCTTATTATCACCAATGATATTCCTAATTGTGGTGGACTGGATTATGCGTCAGACAGTGGGAAACGAGAAGACGGGAATATCCTGGACCGACGTGAAGAACCTAGAAGACCTGGATTTCGCTCGTGGATGGTTTATGTTTGATGTCACACAAAATCGAAGACTTACAAGCGAAAACCGACAAACTGGTCGAAGAAGCAGCCGGCGAAGACAGGACTGCAAGTGAACATAGACAAGACGGAGGTGATGAAAATAACCAACCAACGACAACAACAGCACCAGCATCCACCGTCAATCACCATCAACGGGAGGGATTTGAAAGAGGTAACTTCATTCACTTATCTAGGGAGCATTGTCTCAACTACAGGCGGTCGGAACGGACGAAGATGTCAAATCGAGAATCGGGAAGGCGAGAAACACATTCACTCATCAACCTGAAACCATTCGGGGAATCTTCGTCACTCAGCATCAACAACAAAATTCGGTAGGATTTTCAATACATACGTCAAGTCAGTTCTTCTATACGGATCAGAAACTTGGCGGGCGGGTAACAAAGAATATTTCCAACAGCCTGTTGCAGACCTTTATCAACAAACAACTGTCTTCGCTGGCTCTATACTGAAGATCAGATGGTCAGGCCGAAAAGAATCACCAACAAGAAACTATGGAAACAAGCAAAACAAGAACCAATCGCTCAACAAATATACAGGAGAAAGTGGAAATGGATTGGACACTCGCTGAGGAGACCGCTGGGTAACATCGCGCGTCAGGCCCTCGAGTGGAACCCGAAAGGGAAGCGGCGAGTGGGACGTCAGTGCAAAGGTGACATGAAGGAAATCGTGTGAAGAGGAGTGGAAACAGTATGGACTAACATGGATGCAGGTGAAAAGCACAGCGGAAGACAGAAGCAAGTGGAGACGTGCAGTTGAAGCTCTATGTTACACTAGGAACCCAAGGGAGCAATAATAACAATAATACTTTAGCATAGAGGGATCAAGACCATGAAAGTTGGGGGGGGTGAAGGGACTTTTTCTGTACATAGAGATCTGGCTTTTCTGTTTTGAAAGCCAAGGCTTCTGCGATACAGATGAGTCGGGTATTTAGTGAAGCAATAAGAAGTGCGATCATTGAGCATCTGGTCGATAGTGACCACCCTGCCTCTATAGCCTCCGCCATTAAAGTCATCTACAAGGCGAAAATTAATTTACCGAAATCACCCCTGCTAAACAATGTGCTCTAATATCTGTGTGGAAAGTATTTGTTGCTACAATCTATGAACCTTACTTCAGAAGAGCAGGTGAACTGGTGAGGATGCACATGAAGGCGGGTAGATGAAAGAGCTTATAGTTTACAGAAATGGAGAACAACTTACGACTAGTTAAGGCTTATTGAAGTTTAGCTGCAAAGGATGTCTTTCTGAATGATTTAGAGGAACGATTTTTGAGCATATCTGTAGCTTAATGATCACGTTTGGATTCCAAATTCCTGGAGGTGGTTTACTTTGGAACCAAGTCAGTGGCCAGTTTGGATTACTTATATTTCGTGTTCCTAATTACTCATGCGTTCCTATCTTTTGAAGTCGGATAGAGTTTTTTTTTTAGCTTAAATGGATATATTTTGTTTGGGTGTCATAGTGTTCTCTGTCTGAACCGGATGAGAGACTTTCATTGTTCTTGTATACAGCATCTTCAGCGCTAACCTCAATATGAATTTAGTTTAGGGAATTTTCTCTAGATGAAATCTTTATCTTACCCTGGTAACCTGTAATATGATTGGTTCATTTCTAATGGCCTTATATCCACTTATATATTGTGATTAATCCTTGAGGTGACCTGATATTTGACCTTACAAGTCGTGTGACCTATTTCCTATCGTTCGCTAAATTTGCCCTCTCTCCAAGATATATATGTATATATATGTAAGTGCTTTTTGTATGTGTTTTCGTGTTTTTTATTCTGAACAGTTAGCCGGTTTAAGTGTGAACAATGTAGTCAGTGTTTCTTGACAAATGGTGCGCTCAAATCCCATAATGAAGTTGTACATTTAGGTAAGTATGGATTATTTGTGTTTCTTTTAAAGATGTATTTCAGTAATCCTGGAACCAATTAAATCCCTGCCAACCGGCACTTGATAATGCAAACCTATGTCGTCCTTCTTTACAGAAGCAGAAATTTCGTATCGTTAGTTGTGTTTGAACTCTGTTTGGCGTTTCTGGCCAAGTAGCATTACTAACTTTCATACTCACACGCACTCACTTGGTAAAAATTTTACTCTCCACTCAATATCCCAATAACAACTAGTGGATGGCACACACCCGTGAAATCCCTGACTTTGACAACAAAGTTCTATAATTACAGAAGCGACATTTAGTTTATTAGGGATTGCAGACATATTTTTTGATGAGTACCAAAAGTGCTAAATGTTAAGTTAAGCGGATGGACTCTTATCGACCGAATTCTCCGTACATCTAACACATTTTACGACCGTCATTAAGTCGTAAGTTGTCAGTGAAGTTGCTTTGTTATTTACTAGTTTGTCAGTGTCTAGATTTATGACGTGTTGTCTGACAAAAATTTCCGTTGATGTAGGCCCTGTATGCCCTAAATGTTAGTATATACCATCAATTCTTAATTTACCTGTAAGCCAATTTCAGCAAAGTATTTATTTATTTATTATATTTGTTGTTCCCTTGGGTTCCGAGTGGAAAAAAGCGTAGGGCTTCAACAGCACATGTCTGTTTGACTCTTTTCTCTGTAGTCCTTTTTTAGGTGACCCCACAATTGCCCATAGTTTCTCATGTCTTCCACACACGATATTTTCCATGTCACCCTCGGACCTACACCCAACTCGTCTTTTTCCATTCAGGTTCGACTCGAGCGATGGCGTGACTCTCAATCTCACCCAATGGCCTACGCAATGTGGATCCAATCCGCTTCCACTTTCTTCTACATATTCGTTGAGTGATAGGTTCTTGGTTGCTTCAATCATGGACATATTTTCTTGTTGATAATTGTTTCTGGCCAACCTCGCCTAGTTTGCTAGGTCTAGTTTCCTAGCTGGCCGCAAGCCCGGGTAAACAGGGAAGGTTGGGTATGGGGCTAGTGACCCTACACCACGAAACCAGTCACACTGCTATACAAACTTCAACGCTCAATGAAGACATTAAAAATACAAAAAATTCAAGTAACAATGTTTTATTTCTCTGGAAGCGAAGAGGCGAAATGACACGGGCTGGGAAAGCCTTCGGGAAGCCAGTTACCCAGCCGATGTGATGAAAGGGAGAATGAGAATGTGGATATGGAACATCCGTACAATGTACGGGGCTGGGAAGATTGCCCAGGTAGCCAAATAAATGCTAATACGTAATACAGAAGTACCGTGTATCTGTAAAAGCAGATGAAATCGATGAGAACTGTCAACTGGTGAGTAATTAAACTACTTCGATCACCCAGACGACAACCACGAGCATACTGAGGCAATGAGTGGCTATCATGATTTCACCATTGGCAGGTAAAGCCCTAATGCAATGAGAACCAATTTCATCCAGGATCATGGTAACAACAGCCAACTCAAAAGGAAGGAAGGAAGGTTACGATTATCCAATGCTACGCACCTACAAACCACTCAGAACAAGAGAACAGGAAATATTTATATAAAAATCTGCAAACAGTGATGAACAACATTCAGGATGGCGACATCAAAATTCTTATGGGCGATATGAATACCAGCTGGACTGGTAGCAGGTAATACGGAAAGAGAACTCATGGATCGATATGGTGTAGTCGAAATGAATGACAATGGCGAACTCTTCGCAGACTTCTGAGCCTTCAATAGTTTAGTAGTCGGAGGCAGTGTGTCCCAGCACAAGGATATACACAAAGCAACATGGATTTCACCCGACGGAAACACCGCAAACCAGATAGACGTCATCCCATGTTGCGCAAGAAAGTGGAGTCGCAGCCTGCTGGACACAAAGTTGAGGAGAGGAGCAGATGTGGGCTCAGACCATCACTATCTGGTTCAAGGAACCATCAAGATGAAGCTGAAATCCCTGAAAACAATTGTAGACAAGCCACTGTAATCCAAGTGTTACACTCAGAAACTGAAGGACGAAACTACAAGGGATGTCTTCACTTCATATCAGTTCAGGGCAAAGTCGGATACACTTCGTGTTATTACCGAGGAAATCTGCGTGGAAGAACATTGGAACTTTCTGAACGTCATGTTCAAGGAAACGTGTACAACTGTTGTAGGAATAAAGAAGAGGCACGACAAGGAACGGCTCTCAATAGATTTGTGGAAGCTCATTGAAGCAAGGAGATGAGTATGGTGAAAGAGAACATGACTCAATAGAAAGACGGACAACAGAAGGAGAAGCAAAGTTCACAGCAATGTGCACTGCACTGAATAAAGAAATCAAGAAGGCTGCTAAGAGAAAAAATTCTACGACACACTGGCTGGCAACTGAATCAGCAGAGGCAGGCCGCAGGTAGAAGAGACCTCAGGACATTATATCAGATAACCAGGTGTCTATCCAGGAAGAGATCAATCCAGATGATGAAACCAATAAAAGATGTTCAAGTGAACCTTATTACTAAGGATGGGAAACAAATGAAACAATGGGCTGATCACTCTAAAAGACAATTGAATCGACCATTACCTTGGCGTTCAGTGCAAGTTTCTGACCCATATAAAAGAAGTGACTGAGTTAACACTGGTGTTGAAAATCTGAATCTTGTTCAGTGAAGCAGTAAAGTGCCTTGCCAACAACATTTCAACCTACATGTATTCGCAACTAATCGCTTTGGTCTTTGAAGGCTTTTCTCGAAAAACGTTTGCCGCTGAATATACATAGAGTCAAGTAGATTTCTAGGATTATTAAAGAGGTTAGTGTATGAATTTTTCAAAGGTTTCCCAACTACTTCTATAAAGCACCCCACCTTTGAAGAGAAATGAAAGATTCAAATGTTATCGAATTTAACTTCTACAGGATTTCATAGATTACATAATACGTCCCTGAAATCTCCCTAGTGGTAAGATATTCCTGAATAGCTGTCTCTTAGTCCCATATTCTGAAATAGGGTGGGAGCAATAAAAGCAATTGAATAACTTTATTTGATTGATTGTTTAAGGTCAGACACCAAAGATCGTCCAATTAAATCATGACTTAAATTGTCGATTCTGGTTGAACCTGATTTTACACTATTTTGATCACTTTCTATCATAGACTGAGTTCTAATCACCAGTTAAGTCTTACGCCTCTAGGTGGGGTAAGGTGGTGAGTTGGATGATTTTGAAAGTAACACCTTTAAAGGTGACCTGTAGGCGTTTTATTATTGTGTACATGAATATGCCAGTCTACTCTAACTGTGCGTAACGTTTCCTTGAAATACGAAAGCATGTGTCATAAGGATTATTTTCTTTTGTATGCTAACGCTGGCTAATTCAATCTTTCTCTTATTTTTGCTCTACTTTTCAGGCATTACTTACCCTTGTTCACAATGTGGTAAAGTCTTTTCAAAAAAGTCCTATTTAACATTACACAAAGACGTTGTACATCAACGTAAGTAGAATGATTCGTTTAGATTTAGTTAAAATGTGCTCATATATATATATATATATATATATATATATATATATATATATATATATATATATGTGTGTGTTATCGCTTTCTTAATGTGAACCAGTATGATCGACAGAATGCTCGTTAGCTACGCGGGATGTCTGGATTGTATTCAAAGTCGATACACTCCCAAAACCTCGCTTAATGTACCAACCGAGCTTATTAAGTCCAGAAAAAAGAGGAAAATTTCACGTGAGTCTAGCAAACACCACTGCTAGTGAATCCCCAAAGTCTTAAAGCCTGAGATTCCGTTTGGAACGCAAGAGATGGATAAACAAAAGTCGATAAAATGTGCATTCATCCAATCTTTTTCGGTAAACGGGTATCTCTGTCTGTCTGTTTTCGACATAGAACTTTGCACAAATGTGCGTCAGTTCAATTCGCCACACCCCATGTAGCACGCGAAGCAAGAGAAGAAAGTACAAGAAAAGCATAATAGAGACAGTGAGCAGAGGTGTGAGACAAAGGAGGAGTAATAACGAAGAACAAAACAGTTTCATTGGAGATCATAAGTCACAAGAAGTGGATGCATCTGCGCCACTGAGAACGATTTTGAGCCATGTCACCAATTGTTTCCAACCATAGATTTTTACCGTCCCGAGGACCCCAACCAGTCAGGAAGTCTACACCTTCCTACGTGGCTTAGACCAACTGTTGTGGATTTCATTGACTGGTGCCATGTTTTTGTTTGACTGCCGCTAGCTTTTTTCCAGCCTGACCCTATATCCGCTAACATTGCTCGTCGAGGGAGGCGATGACTTGGCATACGTAACACATGTCCTAACCATCTCAGTCTTTGTAACTTCACGACTTCGTCGATTGATTTCCCCTGTTTACCTAGCACTCTACGTCTAACTTCAATGTTGCTCACCTTATTATGCCACTTTACACGGGAAATAGGGCGCAGGCACCTCTGATCAAAGACAGCTAATCTTTTCATGTCTTCCACTCTCAGTGGCCAGGTCTCACAACCATAAAGGAGGACGGAGCAGACTGATGAGCAGTACACCCGCCCTTTGGTCGATAGTCGAACATCTCGTCTACGCCAGAGTCGGCGTAAACTGGCAAATGCGAAACGAGCCCCCTGTATTCGTGCTGAGATTTCGTCAGAGATCAACCCGTTGGCACTGGCTGATGGTACTTCCCAAATAAGTGAAGCGGTCAACGTGCTCTACCACTTCACTTCCTATTTCTAATCTAGGAGTCGGTGTAGTTCAGTCCTGTGACATCATCTTGCATTTGGCGGGAGCGAATCGCATGCCAAACATTCGTAGATTGCGGCTCAAGGTGTTCAGAAGACTCTGCATTTCATCAGCGTCTTCGCCTAGAAGGACTATATCGTCTGCATATTCCAAGTCAACGAGATTATTCCCCGGTAGCAAGTCAATCCCTGAGTCGCTGAAGTCACCTAGGGTTAAGTC